TGAAACAGCTCAAAGACATGGCATCCATGTTCCACACAAAACAAGTATGATGCAGAGTACAAAGAGAAACAGCAGTTGGGCAGCCGGGTCACAGAAATCCGCTTTGACATGTAAGTAAAAAAGAACTGGGTAGGCCCTGGAAATACCTAGCTTTTTAAAAAATTATTATTAGTTTCAGCTATACAAAAAAAATCATAATGATTAGACATTTACGCCCCTCACAAAGTGATAACCCCACCAAGTCTGCTACCCATCTGACATCGTACATAGCTATTACAACACCATTGACTACATTCTCTATGCTGTACTTTATATCCTGGGACTATATATATACACTTAATTATAGTTGACATTCAGTATTATTTTATATTAGTTTCAGATGTATAGTGCAATGGTTAGGCATTTATATAATCTATGAAGTGATCCCCCGATAAGTCCAGTACCCATTTGACACCCTACATATTCTTTACAAGATTATTGATTATAGTCCCCATACTGTATTTCACATCCCTGTGACTAATTTGTGACTACCAATCTGCACTTCCCAATCCCCTCACCTTTGTCACCCATCCCCTAACTCCCCTCCCATCTAGCAACAATCAGTTTGTTCTCTATTTATGAGTCTATCCCTGCCCTGTTTGCTCATTTATTCTGTTCTTTAGATTGCACATATGAGATCATACAGTATTTATCTTTCTCAGTCTGACTTATTTCACTTAGCATCAGACCATCTAGGTCCATTTGTTGCAAATGGTAAGATTTCATTATTTTTCATGGCAGAGTAATACTCCATGTATCACGTACCACAGTTTCTTTATTAGAAAGAGGTGGAAATCTGATTCACCTCCCTTATCCCTTTTAGATAACATACTATTCATATCTTTCCAGTAAACTGTGGAAACTCCACCAAACCCCTTCACCTCATCAGGATCATAAACTCCCAAATCCAGAATCCATTATGCTTCTTGTTTCATGATACTTATAATCACATGAAACTAATAAGCACAATGAATACATGAATGAATTCTATTAATATGTTTACTGCACATCTGCTGTGTGTCAGAGTATTTAATGCATATTAACCAAAGAACTGAAAGCTTTCAGATAATCCCTCACACTCTGGACAAACCTGTGGTGAATGTGACACCAGGACATGGAAGCATGAACTAGTACCAGGACCAATCTCACAATTCCACTCCATCATTTGCTGGTGGGCTTCTTTTTCCTATAAGTCAGTCACAAACGTATGCCCTACAGCACATAAACCCAAAAGATCTTGCCGTTAGTGCATCCCTTTCTCCTCTTCAAGGTTTTTAGGAAATGACTGCGCATTATCTAATAGGGATGTTGTAACAACTTCCACCTTCCCAAGTAGGTCTCTCTGGCCTAAATTTTATCAAAGTAACTGGGAGGCAGGGACTCAAAGAGGCTTATCACTAAGGAGGTAGGACAGCCTGGGAAGGACTGGCTCAGGGGAAAGAGGCATGTTTTTTGTACTTTACAAAGAGTCAGACAGATTGTCCAGTCACAGCCATAGCTCACCACCACGCCTTCCACAAGAGTCTAGAAAGAAACTGTGTATTCCACAGGATCTTAAAACATAAGGCTACACTCAGCAATTATACTAGTTAATCCCACATACAATAATGTGCCATTAAAGCTAGTTCTAGCTCCATTTCTGGTCTGGAAAAGTAATGGTCTTTAAAAGACTCTGAACTTGACCCCTAAAAGACATGCTAGCAACAGGCAATATAAATGAAAATAAACTCCCCTACAAGTAAAATCAGACATCTTTTTCTTTTAAAAAGCTAATGACACTTTTGAGAGTACCTTCCCAATTTCTCCATGCTAATTTACTCCTCCTTTGTTCCAGTTTGGTTACAAAGTCAAACTTAACAGGGTCTGGATCTAGGAGTTTTTTACTTTATTTTTTCTTCAACCCCAAAGGTCAATTCCAACTATAAAAGTATGAAAGAATAGGGACAGAAAACAGAATGGCAGAGTACTGAGGAGTCTGTTAGGACATTTGTCATCACCCCCAACAGTCAAAAGGGAGGAGGAATTCAATGGGTGAGCAGGCTGCCAGATAAAAAGTAAGAGATGGCATGATGAAGCCAGGACATCAAAAAGGGAAGCAGAGAGTAGCAGACTGCAACAGAAAACTAGAAGGTCCCTGGAGGCGAGGGAGAAAAACATGGCAAGCAGAACAATAGAAAGACACACAGAAACTGCAGAAGATTGGAGCCACAACCACAAACGTAAAAGTAGCAGCCTAGGCACCTAAACCCCTGATTAGCTACCAAACAATGCCCACCACGGCATCTGTACAGGCCTGAGTGTGCTCTGCTCCCATACTCAGTGACCATAACTCAATATTCGAGACATACTTCCTTAATTTTCACACCCTTGTATTTTTTTTTAAAGGGAAATAAAACATGAGAGATACAACACTGATAGCCCAATACTATTTTTTGTGCTCCAAACCAGGGGTTGGCAAACATTGGCCTGCACGCCAAATCCAGCCAGTCGCCTGTTTGTATAGTCCATATTTAAGAATGGTTTTTAGGGCCAGCAGAGTGGCGCGATGGTTAAGAACTGGCTTGGGATGCCAGAGGGCCCCGGTTCGGATTCCACATATGAGGGCCAGTACACTGCCCTCCAAAAAAAAAAAATGAATGGTTTTTACATTTTTTAAATGACTGGAGAAAAAAATCAAAAGGTTATTTTGTAACATGTAAGTATCATATGAAATTCACATTTCAGTGTCCATAAATGCTACTTTGGAACACAGCCACGCCCATTCATTTGTGTATTGCGTATGGCCGCTTTCTCCTACGACGGCAGAGTTGACTAGTCTACACAGAGCGTATCCGGCTTGCAAATATTTACTATCTGACCTTTTACAGAAAAAGTGTGCCAACCTCTGCTCTATGCTACACAGAACACTTAATATGTTTAGTTGTGTTAACTGCAAAGAACTTGTAAGCCAGATGCTTCTTCTGGAAATTTTTCCTAAGATCATATTCTTCTCGGAGAGCCAGAAGAGAACATATAACAGGCTTTCAAAATCAACGGAGCCACAAAAATCAGAACAGAGACTTCAAGGACTTTGCATTCCAATAAAAGTTTGTTAGTAAACAGCCATCAGTTTGGACCTCTTTTCTAAAGCATGAAGAGAGGTCTTGCGAGTGTCCACAAACAGGCAGCACTTGACTATCTCAGCTAACACAGGGTGCAGGAGAGGCTACTATTACTTATGTGGCAAAATTCAAACCTATTGATAGTCTGATGTATTTGGTTTTGGCTCCTTTTACAGGTTGGAGGGAGCTGCTTAACTATTGTAGTTTAAAAGGCATGGGCCCAGAATACCAGATGTATGGGAGGGTGCCAACGAAGGACTTTATAACCCACTCAGCCCATGACCACTAAAACATAAAAGCAAATGCTCTAAACACAGTGGAACACTGTCCATTGTAAGTAACATGATGAGTATAATCCAGGAAAAACACCACTAGTCTAAATGTTTTGAGCAGTTAAAAAGAGGCTACATAATTTAAGAGCAATATCTTTGATACTTAGTTTCAGCCTCAGAACATTCTTGGCTTAATAATTAGATAGAAAAATCCATCTGTAAAGTTAACTGTGAAGTTACCAAAGCCAACCACTATTTTAATTTAAAAAAAAAAAAAAAACTTCATCCAAAGCATCACAAACCTAACAACAAGCACTGTAATAAACAATATGTCAAGCCATGGGCCTTCCTTTAGCAATAAATAGCAATTTCTAATCTTCTGGATAACGTTTAGATATATCCTTGTTGGCAGCAAGCTAAAATGACCCAGTTAGCAACTGCAGGGAGTTGCTGAAGTAAGGGCTGGCTAAATAAATGGAAGTGAGACTGGCTTTAAAAGTATGTCTGCCATTAAACTAACGAGAGACTGCTCTGAGCAGTAGGTCAGGGAAGGGCAAGCATTCTGACATCACTGCCTTCCTATGAACATCTGTAAAAGAGTCTAAAAAGGTTTTATTGAGAGAGAAAGAGAACACAACTTCTTTGGGAAGATGACCTCTTAGACTTAACACACAGAAATGGTTTTAATCAAAGCCTATCACAGTAAAAATATACGGTAAGTGCAACCTGAAAGTCACCCATGGTCACTAGTGGCTTCAGTCACAGAAACAGCACGTGCCCCCAGGGATTACAGCACCACGGAGAGACCGTTATTCAATTATGTTGGGAGGGCTCCAATGTAAAGCCCGGGCTCCGCTCCGGCCCAGGCTAGGGGTATGAGTGCAGGCGAGAAATGCAAACTCATCAGTGCTCTGACCTTAACACAGGGGGCAGCCCAGAGGGACAGTCCCCAACCAGCGCGATGCAAAGCCACTCCCGAACGGGTCTCCAGCCACGCCCTCCCAAGAAGGCCATCTCAAAAGTTTTGCTCGGGAAGGAAATTGAGGCACAGAGATTTACGTGAGCTGGCAGAAGGAAACCCAGACAAGCCCTCGCCTCCCAGGGCCCAGGAGCCCCGAAGCCGCGGCTAGGACCGGGTCCCTGAGCGGCAGAGGGCGGCCGGGAAAGCGGCTCCCGATGATCCCGCACAGCCTCCCCTCCCCCTCCTCGCGCCCGCCCCGCCGGGGCCGCCGCCCGGTACCTCTCGATGACTGAGGCCACCAGCTGCGGCAACTCCTTCATCTCAAAGGCGGAATAGGACGCGGACAGCAGGGGCCGCACCGCCACCTCCCAGCCCGGGGTCGTGTCTGCCCCTGTTGCCGGAGCCCCGGGTGCCGGCGCTGCTGCCGCCGCCTCTTCGCCGCCGCTCGTCGCCATCTTCCGTCGTACTACTGCGGCTCCCTCCGGGGGTTTGCCACCGGCTCAGCGCCGCCTCCCGGGAGGGGGGCGGAAGTGACGTAATAGGTTGCGTCAAACTGCGCGACGCAGTCGCTGGCCAAAACACGCGACGCGCGGGGACGATCTCTCAGCTCTGTAAGGAGCGGCGCAGCGCGGCCGGGGGCGGGTCGAGGGCGCTGCGCCTGCGTAGGACTCGGCGCTTTGAGTGAGGGCGGGGGAATATTAGCATCCGCGCGTGCGCGCTGGGAGTTGTTCCCGAAGAAGGGAGCGATGTGGCTTCGAGGTACCGCGGAAAGGTGAGTTGGGCACTTGGTTTCAGGTGGCAAGACTAGAGCAGCGGTGTAGACTCTGCGTCGCGAATGTAATAGCTCCGGACCGAGATAGCTAAGGACGAGAAGAGGAGCCCGAAGCCTAATCTCTCTCACCCGCTTCTTCCCTTGCAGTGCTGCCTATAATACTAGTAATACTACAGCGCTTCAGGTTGCAAACGTTCTCCTTCCCACACCACCTGTCGCTATTATTGCAATCACTAGTCCTTACTTTCTTTGCGCTCAGATCCTTTGTATGTTTTGCTAACCCTCGTTGGTAATATTACCAGCTCGTATTTGCATCGCTCTATTTTGCCACGTTGAGGTTCCATTTTTCCCGTTTTTCTACTAGCAAAGACAGAATGTAAGCTTTTATTCACAGGGCATAATGTCCAGATTTTATCGAAAAAAAAGATCTGGATTCCAGAGCTAAGAGGGAAGGGCAGTTTGACTCAACGAAGAGGTATGCGTGCATTGAGGACTTTTCGTGTGTGTGAGATCGTTCTTGGTGGATGACGTCAAGCGCTATGCCCTGTGGCCATAGTCCGCCTAAATGAAATCGTCACAAGAACTGTGGAGACTGTTTGAAAATCCTGAAGCCCTGACATTTTCCCCCAAGTTTTGGAAGAGCCCTTTTTGTTGTTACTGGTGTAACACTGATAAATAAATTTGTACCTAGTAACCAACCTGCACTTTTAGCAAGAAAAGACCTATTTCACATTAGAAATAAAATTCAGTTAAAGCCAGCAAGTCTTGGAGGAAAATGTGGCCTCAACGATAACGGTAGGGATTTTCATTTATTGTCTTACATATACCAGGGGATAACACCGAATTTCTTAAACATAAAAATGTAAAAAATGAATGGCAGGGGGG